TGACGATGGTATGAAGTAAATTTCGGGAGGGTAGTTGGTGGTACTTAGTAGAGACTGACAAAGTACTAGTCCCAAGGAATTACCTGATTAATTGCGCAAACAACAGCAAAAGGAATTACCTGATTAATTGCATAAGCAAACAACCGCAAAGCATATTAAACCTACTAATTAAATGCTCGCCAGAAATGCTGAAATTAGTCTCTTTCCTAAAACGTCACCGTCAAGTGTACTTCCAACGCCGACACACCATAAAATTCAAATCAAAGTATGCATGCATGTGCTTTCAAGTTTTAAGACAAATGGTAGTATCCAAATTCTTCAAGAACTTTTAATGAGCGGGTCTTAACTGCATTTCATAACTATAATATAATAAAGTTTTATTTTATTAAGTGAGGTTGATTGTATAAATAATACAAAATTTCAGCAACATCTCACAACTACCAACCCTAATTCATCATCAGTGAAGAAAATCGAGGCCACAACAAAATTCCAATATAATTGTGAGTGGTGGGTACCTAATTATCCATATGAACAATAACATACAATATATAGTTGTTTATTGGCGTTTTTAAGATACACAATAATGAATTTGTTACCAATATCTATATATAGACAAAATGCAAGTACAGAAAGCTTGAAAGAGAAAAAAAAAAAACCTATATTTCTAAACATTTCTCTCCAAAATTTTTTAGTGCAGGTTGACTATTTTGAAGTGATAATAATAACAGCCTAAGATTCACAATGTATAATATGTGTGTGTATGTGCGGAAAAACCTAATGAATGAGAGCCTTTATCTCAGTATAAATGTATAAACTCTCAAACGTATAAACTCTCAAACTTTAGAAAGTTTGAAATATAAAAATGATAACTATATTTCGAATTTTAAATTCACTTAATTTATGCTTCAAGTTACTGTCTCACGCATTATGGTGAAGTTGAGCATAGGGTTCAAACTTGAATGAGTTGTGAGCCACTTCCTACTTTCTTAAAAACATGAGTTAAGCTAGTTCGGTAAAGTTGCATGCCTATTTTTATACTCAATTTCAAATTATAGAGATAAAGAATTAGATTGTAAAAGAAGTTTACAAATTATATTAATTAGAGTCAACAAGTTAACTGTTTCGATATAAAAGTATTATCTTAATCACCAAATGACCAAAAGACGAAATAAGAGACCAAAAAATAAAACAAGAGACTCGTAGTTCGGAGCATTAACCCAAAAGAGGTAAGCTCAAAAAAGTTATGAAGTTGCTAACCATAATACATTCCACACCCTCTCTATTAGTCTATAAATACATATATAAACCTCCTCACAAGTATCGACCAACCAACCCACGCAGCCACCTTGTCAACTCACGCATCTGCCATTTGCCACCACTCCCTTAGATCATCAGTCGTGACACTCCTCTCTGCCTCCTTTTAACTTCTCTCTCTACATGCTTTACCAATCACAATGGGCAACCTCTGCGCCATCCTCGCACCCAAACCCGCCAAGCGAAAGCCCATAAAGCGCCTCCCCAACCCGCCGCCGCAACCCAATTCCAGCAGCCGCTGGACCCGGGTGCGATCCTCCCGGAAAGAGAAGCTCGAGGACGCTCTAATCCAGGAACAAGCTCTCGCCGCCGCGATTCTGTTCCAGCAGCACCAGCAAAACGGCTCTCTGCCCTTTGATCGCTCCACCTCCCTCCGCTACCCCAACTCCAGCTCCAAAAAGGGCAGCAACGCCCTGCCCCGCAGCTCCAGCTCCCGCGCCAGGTCCCTCACCGACCCCCTCCTCCAGCCCCACCAGCTTGTTAATCAGGTTTGTGTTAGCGGGGCTTGATTAAATTCTGTTAAATTAGATTAAAATTCTGTTAATATTGAATTAAAATTTGGAACTTGTAGTGGATTATGGAGTTAATTTGCAATTTCCCTTCTGAGTATTTTGGAAATTTAGGATTTGATTGTGGGTTAGTTAGTGATTAATGATTGTGATTATTTAGAAAATTTCCCCTTTTTTTCTTGGAATTGAAGAAATAACGACTGAAATGTGTAAACTTGGTGATTGTTTTTCTCTTTTCACACACGTGCACAAACTGACAAATACATGCATGTTTATATATGTACATGTGTATGCCTCTGTTTGTCTGCGTACGTATTTAAGGATGTTGGATTTTTGTTAAATTTCGTATGTAGGAGTTTGTTTTACCCTTTGGATGAAATTAACTTGCATTTTAAGGATGGCCGTGTATATTCCGAATGTCGGATAATGGCGGGTTTAAACTATCATGATCATGTAAATAATGGCGCAGAGAATCGCCGTGATGTTTATGATGTTGTTGTATGGAATTTCTTTGTTGTGATTGCTCAAATACGGTCCATTTTTCACTTATTTGATTGAGTTTTGTGCAGTTTCCGCAATTGAGTTCTCGGTTGTTTCCATTGATGAAATTCTTTTGGTTCCTAAGTCCTTACAAATTTTGTGTTTTGATAGGATGTTAATCTTGATGGTCTAGAAACCGACCATTTTGTCCTTGTACATGGAGGTGGCTTTGGTGCTTGGTGTTGGTATAAAACCATAGCACTTCTTGAGGAGGGTGGTTTTAAAGTTACCGCTGTAGACTTGACCGGCTCTGGAATTCATTCATCTGATACAAACAGCGTTACAAGTCTTTCACAATATGTGAAGCCTCTTTCTGATTTTCTTGAAAACCTTCCTGAGGGAAAAAAGGTAAATTCAATTGCATTCCAATTTTTTATCTTATTCGTAATGTTGTTTTAGCTTGAATTTCTTACCGTGGCATTTTTAACAATAGTTCAGTGCCAACTTCACTTATAATTGGCGAAATTGATATTGTACTATTCTCACTGTCTAAAGGATTTGTCGATAATATGATATGCCGCTTGTATGACTTTCAAGATCTATGGCATTGTCAAGTTTGTGACTTTGCATACCTTTCATACTTTATAACTATCTCATTTTTCAATGCTGTTCATATAAAGTTATAAACAAAACTAAATCAGTGATGACTGAAAAACATGTACTTGCTTTAAAGTCATGCGTAAAAATATGAGCTATATTTGTTGTTTGGTACAAAGATATTGGACTAGTATTTGTCTTCGGTACATAACTTTTTTCTTTCGGTTGCTGTATTATGCAGGTAATATTGGTGGGTCATGATTTTGGTGGTGCATGTATATCATATGCAATGGAGTTATTTCCACATAAAGTCGCAAAGGCCATTTTTATTGCTGCGGCAATGTTGAAGAACGGACAAAGTACTCTTGAAATGTTCTCCCAACAGGTTTTCCCTCATCCTTTATCGTTGGATTTGATAAATCTATAATTTTCCCTCATGTGAATGAAATTCAGAATCTGAAATTTGACGATCGATTTATATCCCTTAAAACCTTAAATATGTGTAGATGAATTTGTTTAATCTATTTCCTCTGAATCTACTTAAAAGAACTCATTTTTCTTCTGTGTTTAATTTGCAATAGCATTTTGTATCGTGTCTGGCCGTGATGGACTATGGCATAGTTATTATTACAAACGAGTATCATAATTATAAACTGAACGACCTATATAAAGCTTTTATATGAACTATTTGAGTGACTAATGCTTAGAATTATTGCAGGCAAGTTCAGATGATCTTATGCGACAAGCTCAGGTATTTTTGTATGCAAATGGGAATGATCGGCCTCCGACTGCTATTGATCTAGATAAATCAATGTTGAAGGATTTATTATTCAACCAAAGTCCCAGCAAGGTAATGCCTCACTTCTTTTAACGCACCAAACTTCCTATGAAAAACACGCAAGTGGTTTTCCATTTTTTCGTTTTCCTTGCTAGTTTTACTAATTTCCTTTTGCTTATGTTGCTCTAGGATGTCGCGTTGGCATCCGTCTCTATGAGGCCAATTCCATTTGCCCCGGTTCTGGAGAAGCTCTCATTAACCGACTTGAAATATGGATTGGTGAGGCGGTTTTATATACAGACATCAGAAGACAATGCCATACCCATCACGGTCCAGGAGAGCATGATAAAAGAAAGCCCTCCCGAACAGGTCCTCCGCTTGAAAGGCGCCGATCACTCTCCTTTTTTCTCAAAGCCTCAAGCCCTGCACAAGTTATTGCTGGAGATTTCGAAGATTTCATCTACTTAGAAACACCGTCTTTTCCCGGCTAGATGTCCTCTAGAAAACCCTTCTCGATCTCCGCTGGCATATGATTGAAACGCCACCGGAATCATCCGTAATTTATGCAGTTGCGTAGCTAGGATCGCGAGTAAGCATGTAAATGCACATAGCTATAGGATAAAGTCGTGTGTTTGTGTTCATTTTATGAGACGTGTTCGCAAAAAGATATATTTTTGAGGTAATTTTCCGATCGAATGCAATTTCGTCACTGTGTTCAGAGGATTGTTTTTAGTAGGATAATATGAAGTTAACAACTTAACACTTGAACTTTGAGTAAACATACAAAAACCAGGCATGTCACGCCAAACCTTTGCGTACAGTGCAATTTCCAGATTTCCTTTCATTTAGAAGGGAACTTTATCGAAAAGCTTCCGGTACTGTTCACTTTAACGAAAATCGTTGGCAATATCTTGTACGACTAGTTAAACTCTACATGAAACAACATGAACATAACAGATTTCTGATCAACCCATTGACGAGTTTGGTGTTATCGGATCACCCATTATGAACTCATTAACAATTTAGGTTGTGATCGGGTCACCCCTTAAGAATCCAATAAAATATTGTTTGTTAGATCCAGACATTTGACATGACAATTTTTTTGTATGATCCGTTAACCGGAAACGAAATGACACAATATGTTAATGAATCGAGTTTTTATCAGATGACATGTTAAGAACTCATTGATATAATGGGTTTCACACAATAGGACACAAAAACAATACAAATATGACCCGTTTGCTAGGTCTAAATGTGAGTAGAAATGTAAAATACATTCTTCTCTCTCTCATAATGTGAGTTGAAGTCAGTTGGATCGTTAGATCCGAACTCACGCTGCGTGTGGATTCAAACCATATTGCCAGATCAGAAATTGACCATGTCTCTTTAGTTACAAAACAAAATCTAAACACGAACACATCTCCCAGTTGCTTTTGCACGGCACCAAAATTTAGGCCCCAAGAGGAAGCAAGAACAAAGTACGTTATCTATGCATTTTTTTTCTTTATATTTTCTATTTATTTTTCTATCTATGAAAATTTCAGATCAATTTCCATAGAGCATAGGGATCTAAGATGTTTTCTTTGCCATGATCTGAGCTTTTATTCTTTATAAATTTATGAATTCCGAACCATTTGTTTCTGTTTTTCCAATTTCATGTTCGTTCTCCCCTTTTTCTGGTAATATGTCAATGCCTTGTGCAATATTGTAATCATCTTTCATGCTTCATAAGATCGTACATTTTCTTCTACGGTTATTGATTTAATTTTCCTTGTCTAACCTCTGCACTCCTCCAATTGCGGAAAAAAGTTGCACAGTATTTAATTTGGAGTGCAAATGGCTAAATGAGGAGTGCCAAAATCACTATATTGTAATGCGCCGATAATCTGTTGCTATATGGATCATATAGCGTTCATCGGTATCTTCTAGCCGGGTTTTGCATACTTCATATCATGCCATAAATCGTACATTACCCAGTTTACTTGTCAAATATAGGTTTTCTAGTGAACAATTTCTACACGTTCTTGATGAAGTTTCAAGTACAAATGTTGCCATCCTTGTTAATAACATGTTTGGTTTGGGACTTGTTGCTGGAAATAGGACAAGAAAATAATAAAAATGGGGCGTGGACGTGGAGTCAGCTGTGGTGGTGGACAAAGCTCTTTGGGGTATTTGTTCGGAGGTGGAGAGACAGCTAATGCTAACAAAACCCCAAAAACTACTAACAACACACCACCACCACCACCTCGGAATGCTAACCCAGCTCCTGCTCCAGCTCCAGCTCCTGCTTCATCACCGATTGATAAGCAGCTTCCAGCCGGCATTCACAGCAAGCGTACGAACAATTACTTCCGAGTTGATGGCCAGAACTGCGGAAATTTCATCACGGTGCGTGGTCTTTCAATTAGTCTACTTGTTTCATTCGCTTATGGCTATAACTCTGTCTTTGTTGCATAACCATGACGTGCAAGTCTAGTCCTGCTAGGACATATGCGTCCGTTCTGTAATTGTGGATATATTATTGATATCATGTTGGTATCGTTGTAGCAAAAAATATTGTACCAACATGTTATGGTGCAATATCTAAAATACAGATACAATATTGATGACGACAATATTTTGGGGATGTGTTGTAAACTGGTTGTGCATGTGGATGCAGGATCGTCCATCGACCAAGGTTCACTCCGCTCCCGGCGGCGGATCATCCCTTGGCTACTTGTTTGGTGGTGGGAGTGGGAACTGATTCTTGCTTTTGTAGAAATCATCACATCAGCAACTGAATAATAGCAATGATAAAATATACAATTGTGTATATATACATATATATGTATATATAATTCAGAAATATGAATACCTATATACTCCAAAAATGTCATGTTTGCAAATTGTAATGTTGTATGATGGATGGAGATTTGATTACTAAATCCAAATGAAACGCATAATGCACTAGTTCTGCAGTTCTTTGTACTTTTTCCTTCATACATTCACTGACTCAAGTTCGTTTTTTAAATTACTTTTAAAAAAAATGTCAGAAACGCTTTCAGACAATTAAAAGCATTTTTAGCGACATTTGATGGAACAAGTTAAAAGATGTTTATTGAGAGAGTCTTTAAAAGTGCTTCCTACAAAAGCAATCACAAATGGTTGCAATTCATCTAAACATATAACTCAAGACTCAATCGGAATTTGTGATTAAAACTCGAACTTAATTAAGCTCAATCAAATTAATGATCTAAAATTTCTAGCAAGATAAATCTCTTATTTGCATTTCAATTTCTTGTTCGCATTTGAGGATTATTGGATCCTACCAACTGCCCAAAGAATGAAAGAGATAAAAACCAAGATCATGCAAAATAAATAGAGACTGAACAAGAAGAGAGAAAGAAACGTATTCCTTTCAGCTAGTACAAACGATATTTTATACTAATCTATATTATAATTTGAACCCGAGACGCAATGATCTGAAGAAGAGAAACTAATCTCCACAAAATAAAAATTGTATTGCAATTTTTGAATCCACAAGGAAAGCAAAATAGAAAATACAATGCAGTTTTCATGCGCTTGTATGATTTTAAGTGTTTAATATTATTAAGGGACAAAAACATTACCTTTCTTTTTTTTTATATTTAAATAGGATTAGCTAGTGGTTTCGTCATGACAGTTCATCATTTTGCGAGGGAACGAGAAGACTCATAAATGCATTTCAGTCTCTCTTGACCATCATCGTGTGATTCATCAATACAAAAAAGATTAAACTCTAAACATGCTATATGAAATACGAACTTATAATTTGTCTCTAATCACTAGACTAACCATGGTGGTTAACATTACCTTCCATTCACTAAATGATCGATTATTTTTAAAAATAAATAAATAACGACCCGAGTGAAAACGAAACTTATAGACGATAATAGCCGTCCATAATCGTACACGAAAATCCAACGTACTGATAGATAGACTTAAAGCCTCGGCTAGGGTTTTCGTCTCTCTCTTTCTCTCTCTCTCTCTCTCTCTCTCTCTCTGTGTCTCTGCTGCAAAACATATACCAAATTGCAGCTGCAGAGAGCTCTAACAATGACGACTGTGGTGCCAACCTCCGAGGAAGATCCCGCTCTCGCCGTCGTCCGATTCACCTCCGAGCTCGCCTGGGCCGACGCCGGCCACGAGGTACTCTCCTCTCTCCTCTTCCAATTTCGCTGCTCATTTTCCTCTGTGCATTTAGGTCAAGATGTGATTGTCTTGCAATTTATTCCATCTCTAATTTGGGGGTTGGATGCTTTCTGCCCGGTTTTTTGGATCGAGTAATTGAACTGAGTTTTTGGGTTGCTAGTATTAATCTGTGATTAGATATTGGATTTTCCCCCTTAAATTTTAGTCCTTTATTGCATATTACGTGCTTAATCTCGAAACTCAGTTTTAATTGTAATGCTTTCCAATCCGAAACTTGGGTTTGCGGTGACATAAACATTGGGCTAATGTATTTCCGAATTCTGCATTTGGTAATTGTGAAGTAAGAATTGATATTTCACCACCATTTTTGCCCAACGAAAGAAAACTGAAATACGCGTGTATGTAATATGTATATAGATACTGTGCATATGCATATCACTACGGAAGTTGGTGAATTTCCTGTAGGTCAATTCGGCAAATTTTTGCTCAATCTCTCATGGAGTAAAATTCTCATCAGTACGAGTCAAGGGAATGGCCCTTGTTCTTTGATTTCCATATAAAGGAAGAGATTTATCTTTGTCATGATTATCTGCCAGGTTGCTGAGCCGCAAGTTACTAGACTATGTGCTGAAGCCCAAGAATGCGTGGTAATGGACAGGTGGTTCGATTTGGTGTCCCTTATGCTTACTTCGGCTGAGGTCATATTGTCAAAGGTCTCAGAAAAAGGTACAATCTGTATTGTTAGATGTTTATGTACCTCTTTAAATGGATAAAGAGGCTTAGTATTGCAGAGGTTTTTCTTCCAATTCTTGTTCATCCACTATATCAATGTTTGCTTTAAGTTCCTTAGTCTAATTACTTCAAAATTCTGCACGTGTTTTTGGTCAGTTACGTGGATGCTACCATTGTAGAAATTGAAATTGCTAATATTCTTTAAAATGTTCTTATTAACAATTTTGGATGATATGGACTTAGTGTCAACTCATTCAATTAGTAACGACAATTAAATGCCATCTTAACGGTTTTGTCAATGTTCATCATAACAAATTTATGTATTTTTTTTTCCTTCCAGATCTTGAGTGCATATTCACTGTTATCTGCAATGTTGTTACAAAGTCTGAAAGTCCAGATGAAGCACTGGAGATGGCAAAACTTATATCCTCAAAGATTACTCAAAAACCAACCGACAAGCCTGCGTTGCGCTTAAAGATGTATGATACCATTGTGATCATGACCTTAGCTTTTTATTATTTTGAATGTACATTTGACCGTTTTTGTTTTGTTTACAGTTTGTTCAATCTGTACAACCTACTGGAGAACCCATATAGCCGGTTCTTAGTCTACTTGAGTGCTCTTAATTTGGCTATCAATGGGAGGGTCACTGAACATGTCATCCCTTCATTCAAAAATGTGGAAAGTTTTTTGAAAGAGTGGAATATTGGGATCTCTGATCAGAGGCAGTTATTTTTGACCATCGCTAATGTTCTGAAAGAACACAAAAAGTATGCTTTGTAATCTTTTTTCTATATGTACATGTCTTTCCTCGATTTGTTTTAAGAACAGTTAATTATATTTTCTGTTGTATTTTCAGCATGACAAAGGAGTCTTTCAAATTCCTGACCAAGTACTTGGCGACATTTTCTGGTGAAGATGTGCATACGTTGAGTGAAGCCAAAGAGGAAGCTATACGTACAATTGTGGAATTTGTGAAGGCCCCAGACATGTTTCAGGTATTTTTGTAGGATCTTGTGGAATTTCAAAGATTTTTTTGAACTAATTCTTTAGTCCGTGTTTCTTTTTGGTGACTGTTCATCTTATTTACTCGTGTTAGATTCTTTACAAAGTATGTTTCTTTTTCTTGTTAAAAAACATTCTATTTTTATGTGGTGGACCCAGTTAATTGTGTAGTAGTTTAGAATCGACTCTTTATAGACATTATTCATTTTCTGGCATTTTGAAGAAGCTACTATGCTTCCTCTGCAGTTACATATAATATCTGTATAAACACGACGGTGTGCTGGCTTAATTTTATCACTTCAAAACAACTGGGTTTTTGGCAGGAACCTTAACGGGAAAATCTATGGAAGTAGTGGAAGTTATGGTGAGGAGAAGGATAAATATTATGTGCCTACAAGAAACTAAGTGGGTTGGTAGTAAGGCAAAGGATCTAGAAAACTCAGGGTTTAAACTTTGGTATTCGGGCACAAATAGAACGAGAAACGGTGTTGGCATCATCGTGGACAAGACCTTGGTACAAGATGTTGTAGATGTCAAGAGGGTAGGAGATAGAATCATGGCAATCAAGATTGTAATAGGACAAGAACTTATCAATGTGATTAGTGCGTACGCACCTCAAGTAGGGTTGGATACGAGTTCGAAGGAGAAATTTTGGGGAAGATCTTGGAGACTTGGTGCAAGGAATTGCTCAGACGGAGAAGTTATTTTATAGGAGGAGATTTAAATGGACACGTGGGCAGGGAGACAGGCAAACTATGGAGGTTTTCATGGTGGCCATGGTTTTGGGGAGAGAAACGAGGATGGGGAAGCTATCTTGGATTTTGCAATGGCATATGATCTCTTCTTAGCCAACACCTTCTTTAAGAAGAGAGAAGAACATGTGATCACCTACAAGAGTGGGTCGTCAAAAAACACAAATAGATTTTCTTCTAATGAGGAAAGGGGATCGTATAACTTGTAAGGATTGCAAAGTTTATACCAGGAGAGAGCGTGGCTAATCAACATCGCTTGTTGGTGATGGATGTACATATCAAAAGAGTAAGACAAAAGAACAAGACTTGGAAGTGCCCAAGGACTAGATGGTGGAATCTAAAAGAAGAAAAACAAGCCATTTTCAAAGAGAAGGTAATCACCCAATGTGTGTGGGATAGAGAGGGGGAAGCTAGCCAAATGTGGGATTCCATGGCTAGTTGTATCCGAAAAGTAGCAAAAGAGGTATTAGGAGAGTCCAAGGGCTTTGCCCCACACCAAAAAGGAATCTTGGTGGTGGAATGAGGAGGTACAAACAAAGGTGAAGGCTAAGAAGGAATGTTGTAAAGCCTTATACAAGGAGAGGACTGATGAAAATGGTGAAAGGTATAGAAAAGCGAAGCAAGAGGCGAAGAAAGCTGTCAGAGAAGCTAAGTTAGCGGCTTACGACGATATGTATAAACGACTAGATACCAAAGAAGGAGAGTTGGATATCTATAAACTATCTAGAGCAAGGGAAAAGAAGACAAGGGACCTAAACCAAGTGAGGTGCATCAACGATGAGGATGGAAATGTTCTTGCTACAGAGAACGCGGTTAAAGACAGATGGAGAGGTTATTTTCATAATCTTTTCAATGAAGGACATGAAATGAGTGCTTCTTTAGGGGAGTTGAGTAACTCAGAAGAGTGTTAGAAACTACTCTTTTTATCGTCGAATCCGGAAGGAAGAAGTGGTTGTAGCTTTGAAGAAGATGAAGCATAAAAAAGCAATAGGCCCAGACGATATACCAATCGAAGTGTGGAAACTTTTGGAGAGACAGGTATAACATGGCTCACTGACCTTTTCAATAGGATTTTGAAAAACGAAGAAGATGCCAAATGAGTGGCGAATGAGCACTTTGGTGCCTATCTACAAGAATAAGGGCGACGTACAAAATTGCATGAACTATAGGGGTATTAAGCTAATGAGTCATACAATGAAGCTCTGGGAGAGAGTCATTGAGCATAGATTGAGGCAAGAGACACGGGTTTCGGACAACCAATTCGGGTTCATGCCAGGGCGCTCAACCATGGAGGCAAT